CGCAGTGGTTGGGAGTCCGCCTGCCGATGCAGGGGACACGTGTTCGTGCCCCGGTCTGGGAGGATCCCACATGCCGCGGAGCGGCGGGGCCCGTGAGCCGTGGCCACTGGGCCTGTGTGTCCGGAGCCTGTGCTCCGCAACAGGAGAGGCCACAACGGTGAGAGGCCCGCGTACACAGTGAGAGGCCCGCATACCGCAAAAAAAAAAAAAAAAAAAATTGAATAAATCATTGAACAAACCATCACATCATTCTTCTGTTTTGGAGTAGCAATTTCTTCCATGCAGTTAAGTGGGGTATAGTGCTCCATATTGCCCACTGACATTTAAAAAAATGAGTCTTTATTCAGGTTTTTTTTTCCCCCTGTACTCATGTATTTTTTTAATTTTAATTTTTTTTATATTGGAGTATAGTTGATTATTCAGGTTTTAAAACTGAGTTAATTTATCTCTTGCCTCCCTGACACCAGCCATGTCCCTTGCGGTACAGTGCTGCAAGGTCAACCACACTTGACGATTTATAAGCAGGTATATTATTAAGAGTATGCAATGTATAGCCCACAATTCTGTGGTTACACTTTTCTTCTCAGGCATTGACAACTACTATTAGGGCCTATGACCCCTTCTCTACCACGTTCCTCAAAGATTGTTCTAGCACCTGAATGGACCCGATGCCAGACTGTTGGTTTCTCTCCATTTCTCTCTGCTGGGCTCCACAGTAGCAGGAAGTCACCAAAAGAGCAGGCAGCTGCACAGACACTGAGTGTGAGAGGGACTGGATCCTCAATGGGTTTGGAATTTAATCCCTTCCATTTCAGTTGGAAGTTGACCCCTGGCCTCAGTGAGAAACTCCATCCTCAGTCATGAAGTTCTGTTTCTTAAACATGAACACTGATGTTAAGGTGCCAACAATCTTGAGTTAAAGAAATCTTATAAAGAAATACTACTGTGCTTTACTAAGCTCTAACACATCTACCAATTTGTAGAAGCTATTTATCTAAAACTGTAGAAAGATGAACACTGAAAGATAAATGTCAACATTTCAGCCTGAACCGTTAGGTATCCTAAAAATCTCTGTATGAACCATACTGTCAATCTTGAATTGCATAAAAACTGTCAGGTTGAGTTTTTAAAAAAATTTAACAAAATGCAAATCAAAACTACAATGAGGTATCACCTCACACCAGTTAGAATGGGCATCATCAAAAAATCTACAAACAATAAATGCTGGAGAGGGTGTAGAGAAAAGGGAACTCTCTTGCACTGTTGGTGGGAATGTAAACTGATTCAGCCACTATGGAGAACAGTATGGAGCTTCCTTAAAAAACTAAAAGTAGCACTATCATACGAACCAGCAATCCCACTACTGGGCATATACCCAGAGAAAAGCATAATTCTAAAAGACACATGCACCCCAATGTTCATTTGCAGCACTATTTACAATAGCCAGGTCATGGAAGCAACCTAAATGTCCATCGACAGATGAATGGATAAAGAAGGTATGGTACATATATACAATGGAATATTACTCAGCCACAAAAAGGAACGAAATTGGGTCATTTGTAGAGACGTAGATGGATCTAGAGACTGTCATACAGAGTGAAGTAAGTCAGAAAGAGAAAAACAAATATCGTATATTAACGCATGTATGTGGAACCTAGAAAAATGGTACAGATGAACTGGTTTGCAGGGCAGAAATAGACAGAGATGTAGAGAACAAACATGGACACCAAAGGGGGAAAACGGTGGGGATGGTGGTGGTGGTGGGATGAATTGGGAGATTGGGATTTACATGTATACACTGATGTGTATAAAATGGATAACTAATAAGAACCTGCTGTATAAAAAAATAAATAAAATTCAAAAATTCAAAAAATATTTAACAAAAAATAGCCATAGTAACTATGGAGTATTGCTAAAATTGCTTTTGAATCAATGTAAAACGTGATAGTAATCAGTTTAAGTAATAAGTGCTGTAATTTTCCAATAGTTATGAGGCTTGAGGAAAAACTGATTTAAAAGCAAAGTGAAAACTTGATTAAAAATATCTAAAAAATGTCCTTCTACAGCACTGAAATTGTCCAAAGCTTCCTATCTGTGAGAAAGCATTGCCAACCCTGGTCTCTACCACTTGATGCCTATAGCTGAGACTTTTTTTAATTTAGGGGGCAAAAAAGGCAAGGCCAGTGCTCGCTTTGGCAGTGCATATACTAAAATTGGAGCGGTACAGAGAAGATTAGCATGGCCCCTGTGCAAGGATGACACGCAAATTCATGAAGCGTTCCATATTTTTAGCAAATATGCTTTCACAGCATACCGTGTGTATATGTAAAGATAAGTATTTAATTCTTACTGTTCACTTTTCACTGACAAAGGAAAAAAAGTGAAAACTACAGAAACTGTGGTAGAACCTTACATGCTGTTCTGGTCCCAGTTGTACCCACCTTTGGCCAGTCGCATAGCTACTCAAGAAACCTTTCCAACAGAGTTCAACAGGATGAGAATCTGAAATCACTTCCGATATCTCCTCCTAGATATTGACTGTTATATCAAGTAGTAAGTGATAAAACTTTTAATTGACAATGAGTATAACTGTGGATGACTTCTGATTTTGTTTTTAATTCTGTGGATTGTGTTTAAACAATTCCAATGTATGTTCCTGATCTTGAGATACTAAGTGGTATTGCACAGTTGTCACTTTATTGAATGTGTACAACAGTTCCATGAAGTTTATAATGCACACCCTTGTATAGCTGCAGGTGCTAGAATTAAAATTGATCTGTTATCATAAGGAAAAAAAAAAGGCAAGGCCATAGATAACTTTGTGGACTTGGGCATATATAATAGACATGTCTCTTTCTCAGCTAGCTTTGTAAAGGATGAAAGCCCTGAATTATTCCACTGTTGCAAGGGGTAATTGTAACTGATTAAAGCCATGATGCTTTCACCACTTCTCAGCATTGGGAAGGTACTTTCTGGGTCAGTGGATGAACTACAGAAAGGTTATGATTATGTTAGAGTGTGTGCAGGTATATGCACACCATGAAGAAGTTTCAGGAATTCCTCATCAAAATGCAAATTGTAGATTCTTGCAAAAGTGGTATGTTTAATTAAAAAATACATTTCAGCTACTCTTCTAGATTCTTTTTCTTTTTTTAATTTTCTAATTTCAGGCCTATTTGAGTATCCTTCTAGGTTCTATTTCTCTGTTCTGGCCTGTGGCCTGTTCTTGTTTAAAGCATAATTGCCAACTGGATATTCACAACAAGGTCCCTATTCTCTAAGAGCTCACAATCAATGAGGAAAAGGAGGCACCTTCATGGGCATTTAAATTCTAATACAAGATAGACTGAGTGTGTAAAGAAAGTGAAATGGGAGAACAAAGGAAAGACGATTTGAGTAGAGAATTTTGAAAGTATGTGGAAAGGACATCTCTGATGCTGAAGAGTAAAGCAATGCAGAAGTATTTGTCATATTGTGAAGGAGGATCTATTTGATGACAGAAGAAAATGTTTTAACTCTGTTCTTCCATGACATTATACATCTTAATATGTTTTTCTTTGTCCAAGAAAACAGCACTTGCAACTTTCTCCAGCCAACAGTCTAAGGAGAACGTGTATTGGTAACTCCTGTCTGAGAGAGAATTCAGATTAGCCCAGATTCTCCACTGAGATGTTATTCATAAGGTTATAAAAGTTTGCCAAAGGTGTGTCTATTTTCAGTTTGCATGGTGCTTTCTGCTTTTCTTTTTTTTAAACAAAGTTTTCCACACTCCTTACCCCAAAGTGTTTGTGAACAGAAAGAAAGAGGGAGAGATCTGTGGCCTAATGAAGATAGAACTTTTAGGGCCAAGTGATTGGATATGGATGAACAGATGTAAGTGATCAGTAAGATGTGTCAAAGATGATTCCAAACTTCAAGTCTGGGAGAATCTTGGTACCATTAAAACAAACAAGGAGCTTAGAAGGGGGAAACTGGCTATGAAGGAAAGGGTGAATTTGGTTTTTCACTTGACTCAACAGCTCAAGTGGAAATAGGACTTTTAAGTAGGAAATCATCAGAGGGTATGTTACAGTAGTAACACAGTGGAGTGTGGGATGCTTAATGCCTGTGCAAGACCTGAAGGCAGCATAACATGGTATGTTTCCAGGACTAAACATCTTGAAGGTGGAAGTAAAACAGAGGTAAGCGTCAAGAAATATACCAAGTAGTAAGTCATAGTCTTAAGAGTGAGTTAGGGTATGTGTTGGAAGTAGATTTTGAAAATACTATCAGTCAGTTTACTTCTGTTAAAGCCAGGAAGGTAAAATTATGTTTTTGGTAAAAGCAAAATATTTAAGCTTAAAGCAACATTGTTAGTTTTAATGCACCTAATTTTCAGATGTTCAATAGTTCTTCAAGTACTTTAATGTTCTTGGAAAGTTTTTTTAAAATACATAAAAACTTGTATATAGGGGCACACGTTTTTCCTGGTGCCTTAGGATCCTATCTGGCTCAGATACTGTATTTAATAAAATTTTTCATATTTTATTCACGAATTTTTTGCCTTAATTATGACTTTTGAAAACACTGCATTACTATTTATTTTGATTCCCATTTTTTTGGTGACCCTTAAATTTTGCGCTTTAGGCTCTTTCTCTACTTTTTCCGTTTTTTGTTTGTTTTTGTTGTTTTGTTTTTTTCTTCTTGCTTTTGGAGGCCTGAACCTTTCCAGTTTTTTCCAGAGGCGCAGCTATCCTTTGTTTCGTCCACCTTGCAGAGTCCCGGGCCGGGCCGGGAACCTCTTCAAATAGTAATTTCATTTCGCTAGGAACTTGCAAATAGGTTAACTGAACCACTTGGCTGCGTTGACTCATTCGCTCCCGCCCAGAAGAAAGCTTTCGGAGCTACCGCGTTAAGGGGGCGTGTTTCCCGGGGCGCCGGCCGGCCTCATTTCTACGACGCACGCAGCGGGATTTCCGTTTCCTCCTTCTTCTCGCGAGTCTTGCGTCCCAGCAGCAACCGGAAATGAGTTCCTGCCTGGAAGCTGTCGGAGCCTGAGCCTCAGGTGAGGGAGGGAGAAGGGGCGGAAGGCTTTGCGTGGGTCCTGGAGGCGGTACTGTGTCGGTGTGTGGACCTTGTCTTCTCCCTCGCGCAGAGGACTCCGTGGTTTCGTCGCCCCTCTCAATTCCTTTACGTTGTTGGTTGGGAGCGTCGTCATCTTGGAGAAGGGGCGCCCGCACATCTCGGCGGTGAGGCGGCGAAGCCCAGGGATCTCCTTGGTCTTTGGTGACGGGGCAGGAGGCGGTAGTTTTTACGGCCACACGTTTCAGATTGAAGCCCCGTGCTAACATTTTAATATTTATTGAGCCCTTACTATGTCTTAGGAACTGTTTTAGGGGTATTGGGTGTAACAGTGAATAAGTCCGACAGAAGTCCCTGCCCGAAGGGAACTTGCATTTTAATAAAATTTGAGAAGACAGTGGAACGGAAATGGGGATAGAATCAGGATTTTTTGGTGTGGGTTGGAGGAGGAGGAAGTTAAGAGGGATCAAAGAGGCTTGAAGGTGCGAGAGGGGCTTTCTGGGAGCAGGAGGGAGTCCTTCCCGTCCCCTGTGCAGAGCTGTTGATGCGATACGGTCTAAAGGTGGGTTGCATAAAAGTCGTGGATGCAGTTAGGCACTTGGGACTCAGTGAATTCATATTCTTACTGTAGGACTTAATTGATCTCTTTTTTCTTCAGGAAAAGATTAAAGGTTAGATTGTAAGAAAAGGAAATAGAAGCCATGTTTCGAAGACCTGTAGTGCAGGTAATCACTTCTTCGTATTAGTGTTGGGATGTGTTACTATAAGCCATAGTGATCAAATTTCTTTAGGCCTTTGCCTGCAGAGGCAAAAGTCCTTTGAGCCCACACACCTTGGTGTACTTATTTGACATGAGGGCTGGGGACAGATTTTACTTGGGTAAAGAATGTTCACTAAAGCAAAACGAAACTTCTCTAGTGTGTTCACATATGTAATGGGAATAATTACTTTTAAAAACATGTGCGTCTTGCACGTAGATCAGTTAGAGAGCATTGAAAGTCGTTGTTGATCTGCAGACTATGACAACCGTTCCGTTTTTTTTTATTATTATTTTTAATAAGACAGGTGGTTTCTTTTCTGACCACGCACCTCATGTGTTGTCAGCCTGCCTCCCCACCCCGCCCTGCCTCCTTGTGCTGAGGAGAGCAGGTGAGGTCTCAGCATCACCACACGTTTACCAGGTCCAGGATTGCTTCTCATGTCACCCAGTCAGACTCCTCCCCTGATCTCCTCAGTCAGCCCCGCCAGCCTTGAGCCAGCCTAGACCCCTTTTTGCTCACTTAAGCTCATCTGGGTGACTGTTGCACCAAGTGCTACAGATTCTCCTTTAGATCACCTCTCGCACTCATCTTGTGAAAGGAAGAAGCAATTCCTCCGTGAAACCTGTTCACATTTCCCCCGCTCTGCTGTAGAGTTGGCCCTATATTCTTGGATCCGTACTAACTTATACGTACTTTTGAAACGTATACTTTTTCATGTGTTGAAATGTGAAGCCTGGAAAAGCTATTCCTGCCTTAATACACGATTCTACAGTGTTACGATATCTTTAAAGCCGTGTATAAGAGAGTTAAATGTTTAATTTTAAAAAGTATCCCAGTTAAATTAATTCTTTCCCCATTTCTGCTCCTCCAGTAGGTCTTGATTTTTGTGTGCCCCCAATGAGGCAAACTGTTGTTCCATGAAACTTAGGAGCTCTGGCTCATCTGAGCACTCAGATTAGCACCTCTCTGGAATCATGACACAGATAGCAGTTAGCAGTTTGATCTTTAATATGTTGTAACTCACATTTTGATTTTCTTACCCACTCTCTGCTCCCAAACATAGCGCTAGGATTCCATAGCCAGAGTACCACCCCTGGAGTGGGTATTGTTTTAATTGGTCGCTTATTAACAGTGCCACCACTTGACACATGTTTCTCTGATGTAATGGTTAGCTCTCTGAACCCAGCGATGTTCCCAGTGATGTGTCCTCATATCTTGGCAGTAGCCCTTACACAGAATGTCCTTAAAGAGGCAGCAGAGGGCAGTGGGAAAAGCAGCAGCCTTGGGGTCAGACGGCCCTGGGATCTCAGCGTGACTTGCCACTTACTTCCTGTAGGATTTTGGGCAAGTTACTCTGTCTCTTTGAACTTCATGTTTCTCATCTATAAAGTGGTGGTAATTTTACATAGTTTATAGATTTAGTCTGAGAAATAATTGATGAGAGGTAAAGCAGTTAGCGGGGACTCAGTAATGATAGCTGTTGTTATCATTGAGTGCTGCTGTTACATGGCAGTGATTCCCTTTGTCTGACAGACCGATTTGGGCAGTCATATCTTTGCATTTTATCAAAGAATCATGTTTGTTTATCTTAGACTTTTTTCTTTGGTCTGTCGAAAGCATGACTTTTTCCAACATGTATTTATTTACCTTTGTGTACAAACACAGAGGCACCGTAATCAGGAAGATTGCCACAAAAGAAGCGGGAGAGGACTGTAAATGAAGTCTCTTGGGTATACTGTGTAGTACCTCCTGTGTACCTGTGGGCTTCTGCAGTAGGCTGCCCTTAAGTGTTTGCATGGTCCTCCTGGCTCTGTGTGATGGGCACACCTCTTGTCTTGGGTGGATGTATGCCATAGGAGCTGCTGACTAGATGGTGACCACGTGTGAAAGGGTCTTCTGTTTGTATTTGCCTTTCCCCCCGGATTAAAGCTGTTTTACTTATTTGTTCCACTTTAGGTCCTTCATCAGTTTGTAAGACGTGAGTCTGAAATAGCTGGCAGTTTGGTTCTCGAAAGATGTAAGTAGTAGCTGATTTCCAAGTTTAAAGTGTGTTATTTATAGCAGTATGCTGATATTCTCAGTGTTGCACAAGAGGTGTATTCGTTGGGTTATAATCTATTAATCATCACGCTCTTGACTCATATTTGCCTCTCAGATCTTGGCCTTGCCCCACCAGGCTGCAGGGCTCCTGTAAACTGGGCCCTTCTTTGTTTACCAGTCAGTTTTTACTCACTCTTGTTGTCACTTTCCTGCCAAAGAATTTCCTTGAGTCCTGTTTGGTTATCTGAGTCTTCCAAGGGTGTGTGCTATGTGGCTGAAGTAGTGAATGTTTGTGAAAGCTGTTGTTTCACAGAAACAGTCCCTTGTATTTATAAAGATATTCAGATTTGTTCTTTTAACTCTACAGACAGTTTAAAGAATTTTTTTTAGGTATTTAAAAGAAGAATTTAGATAAAGAGCTTAACGTTTGTTTTGTGGGGCTGCTTCCTCGAATATTTTCTCCTTTCTTGCCAACCCTCTTTTTCCTTCCCAACCTCTGTCTTCAACTTACTTTCAAACCTTCTAGAACTTGGGTTTTGCTTAATGCCAAGACTGAAGTTGGAGTAGTGTTTGTAGCTGTTCCGCCCTGGACATTTCTCTCAGTCTCGTTTTATCTACACATTGCCTTTCAGCTCTGAATCGTGTGCAGTTACTTGGTCGAGTAGGTCAGGACCCTGTCATGAGACAGGTAGAAGGAAAAAACCCAGTCACAATATTTTCTCTAGCAACAAATGAGATGTGGCGATCAGGGGAAAATGAAACACACCAAATGGGTGAGTACAAAAGCCCGGGTTCTTAATTTTATCAGCAGTAAGTAGACATTATTTGTTGTGAATTATCTAATTAGATACTTTTAGAAAGGACCTTCTCTAATTCTGTTCTGCTCTTTTAGAAATTGTGGCATTGGTTTTGCTGGGACACGTTGTCCTTTGGCGCTTGTCTTTTGCATTTGTAACCACATTCCCTATTGTGATTTAGGTGATGTCAGTCAAAAGACAACGTGGCACAGAATTTCAGTATTCCGACCAGGCCTGAGAGATGTGGCATATCAGTATGTGAAAAAGGGGTAAGTTGAGGAAGGAAGGATCTTACAGATTGAATGGTCTAAAACAGCGGTCCCCAACCTCCGGGCCACGGACCGGTCCTGGTCCACGGCCTGTTAGGCCCCGGGCCGCACAGTGAGAGGTGAGCGGTGGGCGAGCAGCGAAGCTTCACCTGCCGCTGCCCATGGCCCACGTTACTGCCCGGGCCCCCC